ATCCTAAATCTTTTATTAGTGCTTATTATGCAAAATCTGCAAATAAAAAGAGAGGAGGGAGGGAGACTGAGAGGAGTCAAATATCTAAGAAGCAGTTCTCATTAGACGATGCCAACCCCTAGAAGAAGACTTTTAGAAATGTATAGTGTGCTATTTGGCTGTGACAATCACTGGAGGGCATTATTGAGTCATTTAAAAATGGATTTTATTTTTATTGATGTGTTTTTATTTCCCCAGTTTGACTGACTGTATCCTTGAAGTGTAAGCCAAATAAAGCCCTCCTTTCTTACGTTGCTTTAGTTTGGTATTTTGTCAGAGCAATGTAAAGGAACTAATACAGAAAGGTGGTTTAGAGTTTGGGATCTTGCCAGAGGTGATGGTGCACACCTTTAATTCCAGCATTTGGGAAACAGAGGCAGACAGATCTCTGTGATTTTGAGGCCAGTCTGGTCTACAAAGAGAGTTCTAGAACAGTCAGGGCTGTGTAGAGAAACCCTGCCCCTCCCCTCAAGAAAGTTTAAGGGCAGTGAGTACTACCTAGAAAGAAGCTAAATCCAAACAAAAATAACCCAAACAAACCAACCCACAAAATCAACAAAAGATGGCATCTCTCATGGTCCATAGTTACATAATGAGCTAAACCCTTTTAACAAGGAAACAAACAGAAGCCACCTGGACAAAATTATACTAAGGAATGTAAAAAATATTGTCACTTTGGTCTCAATGCTGAAAGTTATCAGTGTAAAACTATACATGTATACACAGGCTGACAAAACTACATAGAAAAACATGGCTCCGAGCATATGATTTTTTTTTCTTAACTTCTCAATGTTTGTAACATGAAAATGTACTGCCAGGCAAGAAACAAAAAAAGGGGATATTACTTTTTAAAATGAGCTCCTCCACCCTCAAAGAATTCACTGATTCAAGTCTTTTAGAATTCTCACCTAGGGGAGGGATTTATTTATTTATTTATTTATTTACTTATTTATTTAATGTAGGCCACCCACCAGAATGGTGCAGTAGATAAAAGGTGCATGCCACCAAGCCTGAGTTTGATCCCTGGGTACATGAGATAGGAGATAAGCAACACCTGCAAGTTGCCCTCTGACCGCCACACATATGTGGTGGCATACATGGGAATGCACACAAAATACAAATAAACAAACATACAAGATAAAGGGTGGCTTCTGTGAAATTACCCAGGATGGGTTAATCCGATAGGGACCGTAGCCTAAGACCCAGGATGATCACACCTATTTCACGTTTCCCTCCACCTGACCCAACACTGATGGAGCACCATCAGCTTATGCCCAATGCTCCTAATACCACAAAGTCAATGATCTGCCGCCAAGAGGCACATCAGACACCGATTTAACAGTGGCCATCTATGATGGTGAGTCTTTACTGTCAACTTAACAGCATGCAGAATCACCATGGAAACACATCTCTGGGTGTGTCCACAATGCAGTTTCTATACAAGTTACACTGGGGCAGGAGGACCCACCGCCAAGGAGGGCAGCACTGGCTAACCACTGAGTGGGATCCTGTACTTATGAAATGGAGACAGCAAGCTGAACACCAGCATTTATTTCTCTGTGCTTTCTGACTGTGGATGTCGTGAGATATAACACTTTCTGCACTGGCCACCATGCCTTTCCCATCATGATGGGCTGTCTTCCCTCCTTAAGCTGTTTCTGTCATGTGTGTGTTCCCAGCCAGAAGAACGGTACCTAATACTCTGCATGATCAGGTTTTGCTACAGAACAAAGGGCCTTTCATGACCAACCCCAATTGCTAAACATTTCATTTCCTTTGTTGCTTTCAGAAAATAAGAGTGATGAGGGCTTGTGAAATAGCAGATAAAGGCGCTTGCTGCTATGACCATCTGAGTTTGATCCCCCAAACCCATGCTGTGGAAGAAGATGAACTTCAGCAAATACTCCTCTGACTTCTACATGGGTGCTTGCACTTGTAAACACACATACACACACACATACACACACACATACACACACACATACACACACACACACAGAGAGAGAGAGAGAGAGAGAGAGAGAGAGAGAGAGAGAGAGAGAGAATGTAATTTTTTAAAGGTTAAAAAAATAGTGATGAGGGGCCAAGTCCATGGAAGATCAAAATTAGAATGAAAGAACTAGCCTGGCATCTCTTGGGGCTGGGGCTGGATGCTTCCAATATTGTTTAAGAACCCCAGAATCTCAACTTCACACACAGTCCTCAAGCTGTCTGTGAGGGGCCAGGAAAAGAGCAGGCAAGTTTTGAATCCCATCATTTGCCCAGCACAGTGTGAGGACATGAGAATATGCCACCTAAGTGAGTGCAGTGCAGACCTGGCTCAGTGCAGACTTCAGAGACTGCCAACACACCAATAAAATCCTTCTTGAAAATGAAATGACCTACCTCATACAGCAACCATGTTCTCACCTCGCTCTCCCTCTCCCTCCTGTTTCCACCTCCCCAGTTCTAGGACGGAAAGTGTGTTACTACACTTAGTTTTTCGTTGTTGTTGCTGTTGGTGGTGGGGTTTTTTTGCATGTTCCTTCTAGGACCCTGAACTCATGCCTTCCCGCTTGCATAGGAAGCATGAGACCAACTGAGCCAGTGCTCACAGCAAATTTTCACCAAGTTCCCAGAGCTGTCACATGTGGGTACAGGAAGAAGCTCTGCCTTCAGAGCTTCAACCAACACCCTAAAAGCAAACAGTGTCCTCTCGGAGTCATACTCCTGTCCTGTCCCCAGGGGTTTATGGTGAGAACTGGGCTTCTCCTTGGGAGAGAAATCCTCTATTTGGCAAATGTATCCTGTATATTCTCCTGAGGGCCAGGCATGAAACTGCTCCCCAGTCTGTTCACACTACTCGCTGTGATAGAAATGGAACTAAGCCGTTGATTGTTTAGTTAAAAAAAGGAAAAGTGGAATTTCAATTTTTCCCCCCTCAGTTAAGTTTTGAATTCCATCATCTCCAAGTGTACCTTACAACCTCAACATTCCAATGTAGTCACATGAACACCGGGTGGGAGCCTGATAGAAGCCAGCCATTATTTTTGTGGGACACTGGGCCTAGTGTTTCTCTTTTCCTTTTATTTTTGAGACAGAGTATCATATACTCCAGGCTGGCCTTGAGTTCCATATGCAGCCAGAGAAGACCTTGAACTTCAGATCTCTTACTGCCAATACTCTCTTCCTTAGGAGATTACAGGTGTGCACCACAATGCCTAGTTTATGCAGTGCTGGGATCAAGCCCAGGGCTTCATGAATGCCAGACAAACACTGGGCTACATCCCCAGTTTTCTTTTTCTTTTTTCTTTTTTAAAGGCCCAGTCTACTAATCATTAAGTTGACTTTCGGTGTGCATAAAAATGTGTGGTTTATGTACATGGATATGTGGGGGTATGTGTGCCTGTGCATCTATATGCAATTCTGGCAGGGGACATCAGGTCCCTTGTTCTGTCACCCTCCACATTATTTCTCTGAGACAGGACCTCTTTCTGAACCTGGAGCTAGACTGTGGCCCAGAAAGTCCCAATGATCTTCCTGTCTCCATATTCCTCTAAGTGTTGGGATTACAGGCATATACCATGGAGTTCTGGGGATTTGAACTCAGATCTTTATGCTTGCACAGTAAGCATGCTTACCTACTGAGCCTGATCACCAGACCCCTTAAGTTCATTTTTACAACCCATCTGTGTAATACATTCTTAGTAGGAAAATAGCATCTCTTGCCATTTTCAGATCAGTGTCAAGGCCACACTGGGCAACTTAGCAAGAACTTGTCCCAAAATTTAAACATTCCTTCAAGTGCTGGGATGTAGTTCAGCTATAGAACACATGCTTGAAATCCTCCAATGAGGGGCTAGGGTGTGGCTTATCAGAACAGCTGCTGCCTAGAAAGGCACTATACAGGCAGTTGACAAGAAACATCACTGGAGAGTGTAGGGTAGTGAAACACACTGGTGACATAACTGGGTGTTTATGGAGAGGGTGGTCCATCCAGAACTGAGCTAGGAGGGGCTGTGACAGTGGTCATGCTGGGCTGCAGCATATGGCAGATAGGCCAAGCAGACATAGCTTTCCACTGTTGAAGAAGCAGAAAAATGACACACTTATCTGAAAGTTTCCCTGAAGGACACGTGCCTGAGCACTTCAGTGAAGAGAGGGTAGTTCCCAAGCCTCAAATC